ATCTCTCACTGAATTCTGACAAGTTTTAAATTGAACCACTTTAATTATATATGTTATGTCTCTAAAATTCAGTTTGCAGCAACTCCATAGGGTATTTAGAGTTCGACGTGTCATAGATAGATGCTCTTTCCTGTTCTTCTGTAGTATCAATTAGTCTAAATAAATATACAAATTGCACTTACTAGATATTGTGCAAGGTTTTCCGCCCAGAAAGGCGGGAGGCCCAGCGCTATAAAATTAATTAAGTGCGACTCAATGCGAGCAGGCGAAGCAGACACCAAATATTTGTTGTTATTTTGTTGTTCCCTTTCTGTTAGACCTTTAGCATGGGCTAGGTATTTGTTATTCTTTTGTCCGACTGCGGGTGGCAATTGAGTTATGTATTGAAACTGAAAGCTGAAATCGCCGAGTTTCTCGAGCAGTGTGAAGTGCAAGTGGCATGCCCCACATAGGAAAACAAAAGCAGCAGCAGTAGCAGCAGCAAACATGAGAAAGTGGCAGCAATTACTTTTGGTATTAATTTCAGTTGATGGTCCGTTTTTTAATTAGGCATATTTAAGATTTCTCTCATGCTGCGCCTGACCCAATTCTGGCTGGCTATAACAAACTCTGAGATCGCAGTGGCAGCTGTTGCACCACACATGCGATATACCCGGAGCCCTGCTCCATTCAGATTTACAGGCATTACGTTTTACACTTAATAAAACGTCCGTAGTCGAGCCCAAAAAACCCAACCCCTTTAACTACTTATTTCAGGCCGGGTGGTTGCTTGATGGGTGGGTGGAGTGATGGCTGGGCGGTTGAGTGGTTGGTGCTTTTGGTGTGGTACGGCCTTCGGCTCGCTTCGGACTCTACTGCTGCTGCTGCTGCTGCTGCTCTCGCTTTGCTGTGCGCCTAATTAAAACTCATTACCATAAGCATAAACTGAAGCAAGGAGCTGCTGCTCGCTGCTCGCTAAATGCAAACAAGAAGGACATGCGGAAATTAAAGTCAAATCAACTGAGCAGCCCAAAGTCAATTTCAAGGGTTTTTCAAGAGATGAGCGCACAGATTGCTTAACCTTCTCCCAGGCTGCGCCTTGGGTCGATGCTTCCGTCTGGGGAGAAGTTCACTTAATGCAATTTCCTTGCCAGACGGCGAGGTCGACAACTGCTTTTTGGGGATTAGTTGGCGTATCGACCATTTTGTTGGCACTCCGCACTATCCGCACTAGACAAGTAAGCCCCGCTCTCTCTCTGCCCCTTAGCTCCACAAGCCCTGCCGCACATGCAGCAATGTGCAACCCTAGTGAAAGTGAAAGCTTTGTTTCCCATGCGTGCAACGACCCCTTCCGATGGCTGGCGCTCGCTCTCTCGCATAGCGTGCGCTCTCTCCATTTCGACCCCTCCTCTCTCTCTCCCCTCCCTCGCCCTACAGAGCTTGCCGTTGCCTGTCTGGCTATCCAGTTCCCTTTTGCTCTGTGCAACAGTTGCCGCCAGCTGCTGTTTGCTGAGCGCCTGTTAAAGTTGCCGCGTCGCATTTTTGTGCCAAGCCAAAAAGGACGAAGCGATGAGTGAATTTTACTCTCTCTCAGTCTCTATGTCTCTCTCTCTCTCTCTATTTCTGTCTCTTGTCCTTGTGCCTCTCTGTCTCTATCTCTGCTTGTCTGGCTCCGCATTATTGTGGCTCATTGAAACTCAACTCAAAAGTAAAGTTTGTTCGCAACCTGCGAGCAGCAGAGGGGAAATTCAGTCTTCGTTTCGCCTTTTGGGGGTGTAGACGCTTTTAGTTGTGTCCTCTGCTTTTGCCTTGCCACATTTGCAATTCTGTTGTTGTTGTTGTTGTTGATATTGTTGTTGCTGTTGTTGTTTCCTTTGTTTGTTGGGCATTTCACTCGCAAACTGTTTTCAAATGTGGCCGCTTGCGCTTTTATCTGCACGCAAAGAGAAAGAAAAGAGAGAGAGAGTGGGAAAGGGAGAGGGAAGGGGGCTGAATGAAAGAGCGACTGAATAGGTTGAATGGCCAAACTTTGACGGAATGAAAATGGAGCATTTGGGAAAAGCAAACTTTACTAAAAATATATTTATATGAATTAAAGATAAATAAAGTCCAACTTTAAAGCAAAAATCTTCACGCAACTCAAAAAATTTGAGTTTTTAGTAAAATTAATTTGAAACAACATAAAATGTACATATTCATAAATATTAAAATTCATTATTTTATCACTGCCAACCTCCATTTGGTTAGTTTGCTTCAGTGCGGGGTCAAGCGCCAGAGTGGGCGTCTGTTGGGGGCTGCTTCAGCTGCTCAAAGGGGGAGGTTGCGTGCTAGAAATATAATTTCGCTGCCAGCAGCCTCTCACTCATGCTCGCTCAATGGCAAACTGGGAGTAACAGAAGACACCTGCTGGAGCAGTCTGACCGCCCAGCAGTGGCTCTCCCCTCGCTGTTATCTGTGCGAGAAGCGTTGCTAAACTTTCGCACCCTTTTAACATTTTCGGGCTGGCTGCCTCAGGGGTGGCTGCCGTGTCCCGTTGGTCGCCGCAGGAGTCGTTTTGTTGATCGTTACAGTAAATCATTCGAAATGAATTTCACTCCAGCGCTCTCACCCCGACAACTGGGCAAATAGCGTGTGTTCAGCCAAAAGCAGCAACGACAACATATGACCCAGGTTTCAGCCAGGGGTGGGTAGTTAGAGAAATTGCTTTGCCAGCTTACTTTTTATCAAACGCAAGCTGGAGTTTTCTATTAGACATGAACAGGGTGCTTTTCCGACGCGTCAGCCAAAGGAAGCACAATATATGTAGAAAAAAGAACACAGAAGCTGCCATATCGTTAAGTTAAGGTCATTTATTATGTTCACGACACCTTCTTGCCATCGCCTGCTGGCCACATTTGGTATGCGCGTGTCCCCCGCCTCCTGCTGTTGTCTGTGAAGAAATTATGCAGCAATTCATAAAAAACGGCAAGCGGTCCACCCTAATGCTATTCGAACATCGATTTTTGGCAACGATTTATCGATTCTAAGTGGAATGTGTGGTTAGACATAGCTCGACATTTAATGATGGGAATGGAAATGGGAATGGGTAGAGGCGACCCGCAGCTGGTATCAGCCGAAGGATTCGCCTAAGACACCATTCAGTTTTATCAACTCTCAGGCAACAATTCAATTAACTTGGATGCCAAACTAAGGAAATAGCACAGCTCCTTCACATTACACATGCTAGTCACAAACAAAGGCTGTCAGCCAGTTAATGGAAAAAGCGACCACAATTGTTGCCACTGCCGCTGCTGTTGCCGTTGCCGTTGCCGTTGCCGTTGGTAACGAGCCAATTTAGATAAGCAAAGACTTCCAGTTGCCCCACACGCTACACTTAATTCATATCTTGTGCAACATAACAATTAGTGCAGGCCATAAAACCGAACGAAGCAAACGCCGCTGCCCTTCCCCAAAATAGAGAGAACTTCATCTATGTACATACATACATACATACATACATGCATGCATGCATGTATGGAGGCTGAAGGGAAGCTGCATTTGTTTACAAATTGTGCACGAAAAGTAGCTAAATTTATATTGGAAATAAACAAAATAGAAAATACATTCCTCTCCTTCGTCTATGCACTGTGCACGTGGATGATGATGCATTCAACTGGATAGCAAAATATTTATGAGCTCCGACCAAGTCAAGTGTAGGAACAGTTCTACTTGCCATAGCTCAATTCCAGATACTCTTTCAAATAGACTCAATAATTATTATAATAATATAGTCAAAATCCTCCTACTTAATCGCGATGTCTACTCCGAAGTATTTTAGAATGATACGAGTTTATTAATAGGTCTCTGTATTACCAAATTTAGAGTACTCTACAGCAAGAGTATTTCAAAAGTTTTTTAAAAAGAACAACATGTTTGCTTTCAATTAGCGTTAGACTTTTTGGACTGTATGCAGCGCTCGCCTCTATCCATTCATGAGAACTGTCTAAATAAACAAAAGCCTTGCCAGCTATAAAAGTCAGAAAATAAAAAAATCCAGAACAGAATTGGAGGCATCCGTGGAGCATGGGAGATGTGCAGCATAATTTACAATGATTACTTCGTTGTAGGCAGCTAATGCGGAAGGCTTTTAGAATGGATTGCTTCTGAAACTACCTGAGCGCCGAATGTGAATGTGAACGTGTTAAATGTTTGCGTAAACCATCCAGAATCATTGGCAGCCACGCCCTTATGGGTGGGCTCGGGTTACCTATCCGCATGAGTTTACATTTACGGCTACGGTCAGTCGTCATGTCCGAGCTGGTAGCCAAACGCATCGTTTACTTTTCATCTGAACGAACAAAGTGGCACGCAGTTAACTGCATTTTTCCTTGTTCCCCACTGGTGTCTGGGTTTTTGGTTTTTGGTTACCATGTCAAGTGGCAGCAAGTTCCAGTTCCCGGAATCTGCATAATGTGCTGCTGCCGTGTGTAATGCCTTCGGGCTGGGCTGAGGTTAGTTTAGTGACCAGCACAAACAATTGGAATGCCTCGAACAGTTGCTCCCTAATGCTCGAGCAAATAGAACGCTCAGAACTTCACTGGCTCGAAATATTTGTGCATACCAATGCGGGTCTGCCCATCGGCCAACTGGGCTGACAGAAGCCGCCTTACTATGTGCTGCCCTATATGTGTTCAGCTGATGCAATAGGGAAGTGAACTAGTATGTAAATGCTTTACAAATACACATAATTAGTTCATTATGATCTATTACGAATTAGTATAAAAGTGATAATTTATTGTTGAATAGTTTGTTAAATTATACATGACTGTAGATCATCCATTGATAATCGTTAGTGTAAGTTAAAGGCCGCACTCAACATGAATTGGAATAAGGACTAATTTACTCCAAATACTAATTGAATATTTCATATTTATATAAAAAACTATTATAAAATTAAAATATTATACCATATATAGAATCAACTTGAATCTATTTTAATATATTTTTATACCAACTGAATATTTAATCTTTTGGCATTGCAGAACGTGTGCTGCGCTACTGTGAATCGCCCTCGGTGGGCACCTGCTGCACCTACAACATGGAGACGCGCATGGCGGGCCAGTCACGCCAGCAGTTGGAGTGGCACACCAAGGAGCAGATATCCAAGATGTCGGGTCTACTGGCTGGCAAGGCAACCAAATTCAATGGTGAGTCGAAATGTGACCAGAAATATAACTCAACAGCTACTTGAAGCTGTCAGTCCCTCCGTCCGATTCTAATTGGATGTAGACACAGTTTAGAGTTTACAGATCTGTAAGTATTTACGGGTGTCGAGTGGACTAGCTGCCGATTCCATTGGATCATGCGGGCTTCGAATTACACAGATCGATTTGAAGCAAGAGAGAGAGGTAGGGTCAGAGACAGAGAGAGAAAGAGAGAATGACACAATGTGAAGTGTGCAGGCGACAATGCGGATGTTGGGATTTATTTTGTGCAGCGGAAGCCACAAATATTTAAGAATAGTACCCCAGAAGCATTTAGTCGGTTGTCTGGATGCGGCGGATGTGGCCCATTTCAATAAAATCGACCCACAGAATGTTTCTCAATTTTTCACATTTTCTTCGTCTCATCTGTCTCTTCCATAGATATTTTTCGCAAATTGCTGCTGGAATCGAAGGAACAGTTCCACACGATGTTCATGCGGACATATGGAGTGATCTATCAGCAGAATTCGTATGTCTTTTCGGATCTGTTCAACGAACTGGAGAACTACTATGCGCGCGGTCGGGTCGATCTATTGGATGTGATGGACAAGTTCTTCACCACGCTCTACCAAAAGATGTTCACTGTGCTGAATGCGCAGTATGCCTTCAACGATAAGTGAGTACCAGCCATCATATATGTACAATACATTATCGTCATCGAGTACAGCGCATACTCCCCCCGTCGCCCGTTCCAAAGTCCCCATTGAGGCAGTCCTCGCCTGACAGATTTGAAGTTACAGACGTGTGAAACCGCAAAGTGTCGAGCGTCAACGGTTGACTGACTGACTGACTTGACTCAGGCCAAAGACTGTTGAAAGCTTTGACGAATCTCTGACGTTGACTGGATGGATGTCTGAATATCAGCCTGGCTTGCTTCACTCCTCTGGTGTGCAATTTCAGCTTTCGGTCTATGGGCTGAATTGCCCTTTTGTTTTATTGTTGTCGCGGTGTTTGCGGTTGAAACGCTTAACTAGGAAATGGGCTAATTTTCGATACTCTAAATGACGAACTCTAGGTACTCTCTTTTGTGGAGGAAGTGAGAAATATATAAAGAAGAGAGGAGAAACTATTGAAAGATAAGTCATAGAAATAACGAAACTATAGTTTGTATTATGAATTTATAGTATAGAATTCTTATAATACCAAAAAAATATTTTTTTCAAGATTTAAAAAATTACTTTCGTATTCAGAATTAAATTTAACATCGTTATGTAGGAAAGCTCTTACAATTATTATACTATAATGTACATAAGACTATATAGCTTGCATTATATGAGTAATGAGCAAGTATGTATGATTATAATACAAGTCTCTAAGGGCATATATTTGACTTACCAACATACATATATAAACATATTGAAATGAGTCCACTAATTCAACTAGTAGTATAGTAATGAGAAGACAAATTTTTTATGTATAGGAATATCTATATAGCTGGAAAGCTCTTAAATTTAGGGTACTCTAATCAGATCGACCCTTCGTGGTAAACTCTTCATCAAATGATGAGCTGGATATCCATGGGCGACGTCCCACTCATGAGCAGCATTACCAGCTAATCAGGCAGCTGTTGTTTTCTACATCTCTTAATTTAGTAGGCTGCAAACGTAATCCTAATGCGTATATACTCCCACTGCAAACATATTCACTCTGTCTGTGTGAGTGAGTGTATGCGTGTGTGTTATGGAGAGCCCACTTTGAGGCAGTTCCTGTGGCAGCTGGTCGCATTTCCTACTGCACGCTAAATTGCGCCCACTTGGCTCTTGGCTCATTGAACTGGACCCATTCCTTGGCTTGGCTTGCCTTGGTTTGGCTTGGCGAATTGTTTCGCTGGCTTCGGCATCGGGTTCAGCTTCAGCTTCAGCTTCAGCTTCAACTCTTCATAGCTCGGCTCGGCTCGTGTTACCCACGCGCTTTCCAATTGCTGTCGTTGCCTCCGCCGCGGCGCGCCGTCGCTGCCTTCCTCTGCGATTCGTTTTTATTGTCATCGTCTCAGTTTGTCGTACGTGCCTTGGCACATTGTCCGTTTATTGCACTGGACAACGATGGCGGCGTAATTGCTGGCACTTGCTGCTTGTTATTTGTTGCCCGCTGCATGCGGTTGGTCGGCGACCCAGACCTACAATGGCCTGCGCAGTCGAGTGTGCTGCACTTAATGTAGGGGTTGCTCCCCCAATCGACAAGGCAAACAAATAAAAGGGCGCCCTAAGAGACTGCGAATGTTTTTGGCAACATACTTTTATAAATGAGTGTGTCTGTGAGTGAGAACAAAGAGATAAACGACAGTCGGGCCAGAAAAATATATAGACTTTATCTCTATGATTTAATAGACTTAGAAATATGATATACAAAACTATATACTGCAGCATCTTAATGCCTTCTCTATGATTTATTATTTCTGAAATATGTGTATAAATTTTTAGCAAACAAGTAATCGAACAATATTGATCAAAGAAGATAGCCTTTTGAGTGGCTAACGTGTTTTAGCCATTTCCTAGTTCGCCCATTGTCGAGTTGCGTCGAGGCGAGTCGCTTCGGGCCGAGAGGCAGCCATACAAGTGCAACAGCTGTCATGCCTCATGGCCAGGAGCAGGTGCAGCGCGATACGTGCGGCACATGGGGCGCACTGAAGCAGTCAGTCAGACAACTTCTTCTCATATTATTCTTTGCACATAAAAATCTGTGTATACACAAGGCACTGATCAGGCAGATGGATGGATGGTGGGGATGTGGGCGGTGCGTTCAGCATTTTGCCATTTACAAGCTGAGATTTCCGGCCAATGCTAATGAAAATATTTTGCCAACATTTTGCCTGAAACACATCCACGTCCACATCTTCTTCCAGATACATGCAATGCGTCAGCGAGCACATGAAGGAACTGAAGCCGTTCGGTGATGTGCCCGACAAGCTCTCGGTGCAAATCAAACGCTCCTTTGTGGCCACCCGCACCTACGGCCAGGCGCTGATCACCGCCGCTGAGGTCTCCAAGAAGATATTGCAAGTAAGTGAATGTTGTTGGAATTGACTTAGAATCTTTGTCTAATCGCAACTCTGACTACCTATCCATCCAGATTCGTCTCAATCCGGACTGTACCGGTGCGCTGACCAAAATGCAGCACTGCGGCGCCTGCAAGGGCTATACGGAAAAACCCTGCACCAACTACTGCGTCAACGTGATCAAGGGCTGCCTGCACTACCTGCACGAGTTCGACACCGAGTGGGAGAACTTTGCCCTGGCCATGGATAAGGTGGCCGAACGCATGCTCGGCTCCTTCAACATTGTGATGGTTGTGGAGCCCATAAACATCAAAATCTCCGAGGCAATCATGAATTTCCAGGTGAGTTGAGTGGGAGAATAGAAATAAATAAAAATAGAAGAGAACTAACTAGGGCAGGGAAAGCGAGAGATAGAGAAAGAAAGGATGACCTCTATGCTATCGTTCTGTTGAGGAATAGAATTAAATACCAATATAAAGAGAGGAACAGGCTCAAATGTCTATAAAAGAAGACTAAGTTAGGCCAGATAAAGAGAGAGAGAGAGAGAGAGAGACGAATCGTGTTGAGGAGACAAATCGATTTGAATATCAATAGAAGAAAACTGAGAGCAGACAGAAAGAAAAGATGGAAACTTAGTCCTATCTCATTAAAGGGTATCTATTCGGTGAGCATTTACGCTCATAGTATATTATAGAACTAGAACTTAACTCGTTAGGCAAACAGCTGCCGATTTGTATTTTTATGGCCATCGAATTTAGTTTATAAATTATCTCATAAAGCTGTCCGCTTGGCATGGCCCCAACTCATTTGAATAGCTGACTAACCCGACCCCCGTTCCCCAATATTAGGTATGGGAAAACCGCTGAATAGTGTCAGCTGTGGGCTAGGTTCTGAATCTGTTATCGCTAAATATTCAATATTCAATATTCAGTATTCAATTTTCGTTTTGTTCTCCTATCTTCATATTATTCGGTCTACTCCATATGCCATTTTATGGCTTTGATTCACAGATTCCGAGTTGTCTGTCCATTTACACAATTAAAAATAAAATGCGGAAAATATTTACATCCATTAATATTGCGCAGAATTTATTGAATTTTGATTGCTGTAATATTTCAAGGCTCCAAATTTGTTCATTTTTCGGTTTTCGGTTTTTCGATTTCTCGATTCGTGTGTTTTGTTTGCCATTTTAACGATTTATTTGCACAACATTTGGTTCCCATATGAATTTAATTTATATTTCCATTTAAAATTTATACATTTCTACTTTGTTTGTTGTTTGTTTTGGTGTGTATGTGTGTGTGCGCTATATCTTTAGTTGTTGCTGCTGCTGTTGCGGCATTCTGTTTTTAATGTGTTTATTTTGTGTATTTTTTTTTGTCGGCCTCATAAAAGGCCAAACGGCGTAAGCAAAATAGTTTTTAATTTAATTCTTATTAGTTTTTTTTTCTTAGCATCTCACAGCATTATTTTAAGCAAATCGCAGATTGCGAACAGATCTTCGCTCCGGCGACTACAGTTAGTCGTGTTTTATAGTTGGGATAGGCCAAGAGCCGCGTGTCGACTGCTGTTGCCTGGCAGTTAGATAAGACCTACTTAAACCTAGCCCTAGCAAGACCCTTAACTGTAAAAGGTAGTCGCTCGCAACTGTCTGTTTGTCTAGTCTGCGCACAACTTGAGGTAGTCAGCGTGTCAACAATTACCGCCCCTCGATAAAGTTGCGCTGATAAGGCAGCCCAGACCGACCAACGATTTATTGAGGGCCTCGTTGCTCATTGCATGAGTAGTAAATCAAACATATATGGATTCTTTGTATGAAGTCCAGCTATAAATAGCTCTTGGCATGCGTCCATGCAATGCAACTGTAGAGATTATCTCAGCAAATCCTCAATTGTGGCGAGTTTCATTGACTATAGAAGGCGTTTCGAATTTAATTTGATGGGCATTAGAGGTTCAGTTTAATTAATGAATACGAAATTTCAATTTGAATTGATTTAGATCAACAGAAAGTGAGTGATTCCATTATTGGAAATAAATATCAACTTGAAACTTTCTTCATTTTATTATATATAACAATAAAAATAATAGAACTTATTATTTGTACCAAATATTATATGTAAAAACTATATTTAAGTTAATTCATGCTTGCATTAACTAAAAATAATTATTTCCAAAATTCAAAGAAATAATAATATATAATGCTATAAATAATTGATATAAATAAGCTAGGGTGGTTCAACAGCTTCCAGTATTTATAAAAATATAAGTATAATAAATTATGTCCATAGGAATCAAATAGAAACTAAATACATGTATAAAATGCTAAGCTTCTAGAAATAAATAAATCATTCTTCTAATACTCACAGAAATATGAATAAAATACCATTTTATGAAACAGTGGTTATGTAACGATCATCCTAATTTTATAAATTAACTAAGCAAATGTGGAATATTTATTACTCTTATTTAATTCTTGAGCTTTAGATTTAAGAAAACACAAAAAAATTTCGAACGTATCTTGAATAGGAATTCAAATATAAGTCTTACCAAACTAAGGGTTAGGACACTTTAAGCTTCCATATTGAGTATAAGGACTTTGCCTTGATTAATTCACATAAGTCTTACTATAGCTCTTCATTTCTATGCCATGATCTATAGCTTCGAGCACTCCTTTTTTTCAGGATTCTGGTCAGGACATCACCAGTCGCGTGTTCCAGGGCTGTGGCAAGCCCACTTTGGGACGTGCCAAGCGCTCAATTAGTCCCAAAATGCTGCTGGCGCCATCTGCCGCCGCCGTGCAGGAGCTGCGTGCGCACAGCACTCCGGAGGCGGACACGTTGGACATCGATGCCACTTTGGATGAGGCGATTGTGCTGCGTGAGCGGCGGGCAGCCGAGCCTGGCTCGCAGGACTCGTCGGCACAGCAGTCGCAGGAGCAGGGTAATGGTAATGGCAATGGCAATGGTGGCGGCAACAGGCGTCAGCAGCAACGCCGCAAGCAGCAGCGACGCAAGCAACAGCAGCAGAACAATCGCAACGACAACGACGACGACGATGGCGACAGCAACGGCGGCAGCAGGGAGCCCATTCTGGACAAGATTGTGCGGGACATTCGCCAGCGTGTGAAGGACTACAAGAAGTTCTGGTCGAACCTGCCGCACTCGATGTGCAGCAATGAGGACATCGCCACCTCATCCGATGTGGACGGCATGTGCTGGAACGGGCACACCATAGACAGGTGAGAGTTTGACAGTTTGAGTCCCATGATCTATCAGATTATTAACGACTTCGTCTACTCAGATATATGCACTCGGTGACCACGGAGCACGGCTCGAATCCTGAGTTTAACGGCAATCCGGCGAGCCCTCGCCAAACGGCGCAGATATCCACGCAGCTGTTCCATCTGAAGAACGCCATCAGCCACTTGCGAAACGCCTACAATGGTCAGGATGTGGACTGGAGCGAGCAGGGTAAGTCAGCTGCGCACTGTGAGTAGTGTTGCATTCTAATTGTCGCTCTTGAATTGCAGAGGAACCATATATGGGCAGTGGCGCTGGCTCCGGCTCTGGGTCCGAGGATGACGAAGATGATGATGAGGGCTCTGGCCTAGGTCCGTTCGAGCCCAGCCACAAGCCGGACGTGGATCATCCGTCGGTGCGCGTCAATGCTGAGAACGACGATGATGAGGATACCAATCCGTCCGTTACCACCCACACATCGCGTCCCAATGTGGATGATAAGAACCCGCTGGTGCACACCACGCACCTGGACCACGATAATAACGATTTAGATGATCCGCTCAACAACCACGATGTTGAGGAAGACGAAGAAGACTCCGTCCCCGACTCGTCGTCAGGTGGCACCAGAGGCACCTCCAGCGCACCGGAGAAGATGACGCTGCGTCGGGCTCTGGTCGTCTATCTGCTGCCCCTTTATATGGCGTGGTTCGGCGGCGTATGCGCCGATTTGCTGTGATTTTACAAAACGCTGCCCCCAACGAAAGCGAAGCGAGCAAGCGAACAAGTGCAGCCGATATGGAGCCATTGACGCTCCACCGTCCACTGCACGCCCACACCTCTCAGTCATTCATCCATGAAACAAAAATGTTATTAGAACTTCTTTTATACGAAATGCAAGTCCAAAATTTTATAAAAACTTTTGTCAAAGCAATGAAAAAGCAATGAGCAAAAATACGAAACCCTCCCCAGCTCTGGCCAACCCTCTCAAAAGGAGCCATATTATCGATAACTTATCGATAATTGCTGCCCTTTGGAGAGTGTTGTCCAACGTTGGCTAAATGAAAGGACGACGTAACGAGTCCCCTTACCACTCTCCCCCATTTAGAAGATTTAAGCCCATTAACCTAAGTCGTAAGCACGAAATTCTAATCTGTAAGCGTGTGAGTATGCGTGAATGTGTATGTCTGAATGAGCTTTTGCGAGTGCCTGCGTGTGAGTGCCTGGTTATTTGTGATCGTTTAGCAAAAATTAACTATAAAGATTATATAGCGTGCACTAAGCGAACTTATATTTGTATTATATTTATACATATTCTATACACATATACATACAACAAGCATATACGTAAAAGTTGCCAGCAAATATTTTAACCAATTTGAATTAACACCCAGCGTAAGCAGCGATAACTAATTTCTAACTGTACTGAACTGTAATTAGTAACTTAGTTGACCCTTCCCTCGTTTCAATTAAGATAATCGGATCACGGATCGGTTATATAATACACGCATTATATACGATATATATAACACTTGAAACACGTCCCTAGACGCAACTATTAACAGATCGGTTTTCAAGCAAGCGCATTTGTAACCCTAGCAGATAAAGCTTAAATATTTATGTATATTTATTTTTGAATTTTTTATAATTTTTAATAATTGTATTATTTTTATGTATGTATGTATTAAACGCGAATACAACAGTGAACAAACATTGAAAAGTATATTAAAGTGAAGATGAAACAAATTCATTGAAAGGCACATTGGAAGGTAAAAATTATTTATTGTTAACTATACTGCTATTTTGGATCTATCACAAAAGGCACTTTTCGAAGTTAATTACAGATACGAAGGACTTATTCTGTGGGAATATCAAATTCGATTTCCACGAATCGAGAGCTCCAGACATTCAACTCGATGGGCTCGAAGGAGATTTCCAAATTAGGATGCTTTAGCTTTTTGAGTATCTGGAATAGAAAAATGCACATATAGATACAAATAGATCCTATTCCATTGATATTGATCTATTTACCTCAGTTTGATCACACTTCAGCAAGGTGTTGTGTAGGTGAAGTGTGAGGGGCGACGATAGACTCCGCTTATCCAACACTCGATTCAAGCACAAACTGCTCAAATCCAAGAACTGCCTATTCAGCCCACTGCCCGACAGATTGAGAATCTTCAGAGATGGACTGGCGCCGACCATTTCCCACAGCTGGGTAGCAGTTGGCAGCGCACGCATTTTCGTCAAATGCAACTCCTCCAGCTGCGGCAATGTGGTGCATATCTTGTGCAGATCCTTCGACTCAATGTCGTCGTCGTGCAGCACAAGACGACGCAGATTCGTCATGCTCATCATGACCTGGCTCACGCATGAGCTGTTCCAGAAGGCGTCGTGGAAGAGAAGCGCCTTCACCCTGAGCGGTCGCAGCTTGCCCACCGTATCCAGCAAATACTCGTAATAGTCACGGGTATAAAAGGCCAGACGGCGCAGGCGGGGCAACTGCAGCAGGTTGGGCATGAAGTCGCCCAGCAGGTGATGATCATCCATGACAAGCTCCTCAAGCGTAGTGCATCTCGATATGGGCAGCACATCGTCACCCATATTCGTGTTGTATCCATAGTAAAGCAGAGTAAGCTTGCGCAACGGAATGGCGCTGAAAACCTGCTCAAATGTGGACGTGTCCAAGTCCTCGCAGCACATTAGGTGCAGCTCCTGTAGCTGATCCCAGGCCCATATGTGTCGGCCAGTAGTGCTGCCAAGTAATGTTAGTTGGCGTAGATTCGGAAAGAGCTGCGTCAACAGTAGCACCTTCTCGTCCGTCTCCTCTTCGCTCTCAAAACCCAGATCACAGTCAAGCGTCACCAATTTGGGAAATTCATAAGCTCTCCATTTCTGTAGTAGCGCAATATCAGTTTGTTTAATTGTCAGTTTCTGCAGCGACCCACTGGCGAGCTGAAGGAACTCCTCCATTTCGCTCGACTGCTGCTCGAAACGTTTCACCAAAGCCTGGTCCATGTAGGCGACCTTTAGGTGCTCCCACTGGTACCGGACAACAGACCGCAGGCTCTTGGAGAGTTGCGCTAGGTTCACTTGATCTTTCAGATTCAAATATTTGAGGATGGTCAGCCAGCAATCATCGTTTAGTTTGTCAAACATTTCTACTTTGATCAATTTACATACAATTCAAGAGAAATAAGAATAGAGAATAAAGATGCCTACTGAAATTACTAAACTGACAGCCGGCTGTTGACAATCAGCTGATTGAACTGCTTATCAGAAAGCCAAGCAGTTGGAATTAGCACTGCTTGCGCAAGCAGTTGTGTGGCAATGTCAATATGACGTCACAATTGATTAAAAATAATCCAATGCCGTTGAAAATGCCAAGATATACTCTGAATTTCAAATTATGATTACATTTTCTAGTTTAACATATGTTGCTCGAGTTGTAGAAAGTAGAAAATCGGATGAAGCGAGTATGCGTTGTTCTGGCACAATAAATAATACATTTAAGAATTAATGGTAATAAAAAAAAGTTCATTGTTTATTTTAGTAATGACTCATTAGACCCTGAAGCAATTTTCAATGGGAAATCAGGCTCTAATGATTTTGTTAAAGGTATGTAACAGGCAAAAGGAGGCGTGGCAGACCCCACAAAATATACGTATTCTTGATAAGGACGACAAGTTGGGTCGATTTAGTCCTGTCCATTTGTCCGTCCTATGTCAGTGTATGTATATTACGCGCATATTGAGTTTTTCTCCAAAAATCGATAGCTACTCCCAATATTTTACTATCGATTAAAACCCATATCGAAAACTAGTGATTTAATTATATATCCAAACTTGAAATGTAGGCTTTTATGTATTTTATATAATTTTGATTTTGGTTGTAATCTAACCCCGACTCCTATAACCACCCCCTCACCGTATTTCAAATATTGGAGAAATTTGCTTTGGCCATTTGCACGCATTTCAATGTTATGAAAACGATCTACAAGTTTCATGGAGATAGTCCATCGACAAGAAAAGTTATTAAGCAATTAAGCTCCCATAGTAAGCCCACACTGCAGTCTATGCGAGTTTATGCGTATATGCCTATGCGTGTCTGTATGTGTTTCTAGCAGAAAGGCGCAAAGAATTATTGAAATATCAGTTCTTAGAAGGGTTCAAGGATTTTTTAGTCGAGCAGTCTCTGTAGAGCTTTCTAACTTTTTATACCCTGAACCCATTGAAAATGGGAAATCAGGGTATAATGGTTT